TAGCCGACGTCAAGCTTCAAATTCCCGAGGTCTTTGCACTAGGCGAGGGGAAAAATGAACAGCCCCAGCCCACGTTCCTACGTGCGAGACCCGGGAAGAGAGAAGGACACTTCGTGGCTCTGGCCCGGCGACCCGGCGCGGGAAGAGGGGAGGGGAAGGGTTGCAAGAGCGAAAGGGAGATCTTTGTGAGTGATTTTGCAAAAACGGATTGCGAGGTTGGTTGGATTTGCAACCTGTGGCTCTCCTCGAGGGAGTAGGAATGGGAGAAAGCGGCGGCGGCGGCCCAGGGCGGGAACGGGTGGGGAGTTGGAGCCTCGGAAATCAGCTGCGCTCGGGGGCAGCGTGAGTGAGGGGCCTCCCCGCTGCCGGATGTAGTGTCCGTGGTAAATGTCTTGAGAACTGTGGATTGCGTTGCCTATATGATGCCGTGTTATTGGAACTCTGGCGAAAAATGGAACTAGTGTTGTAATCATGAGTTTTAAAGCTCATCCATGGAAAACAAGAACACAACAAAACAGGTTTAAAAAAAATGAAAAGGACCCCTTTTATGTTGTATTCCTTCTCTCAGTGGTTAAGATTGGTGGTGGAGGTCCTGACAGCTGAGCAGGGGAAATGACCCCCAAACAGAGTGCTGAAAGTCTAGAGTTGTTACTGGGTCTCTGTCTCGGGGAGCTGGTCATCCCCTACTCCCCCAGGACTCTGATTTAATCTTTTATGTATTTTTTTTTTCACTCAGTTTATGTTTTCCAGGAGAAAATCTTGTAATGCTTTACTTTTTTTTTTTTTAAGTAAAGGGTCAGTTGATGCATTTTTTTTTACTCTCCGGAAAAAAAAAAAGTGGGGCAGGAGAGAGGGAACCAGGGAAAGGGCTGTTTAGAAATACAGTTTGTGGCTCTGAGCAATGCCACCGGCTTCCTCTAGAGAGACTGCCAGTTTCCCTTTTTCTTTGCAAGGTGTATGTGGTTTTAATAAATAACTTTTTAAAAAGAGGGGAACCGGCAAGATCTGTCAGGAGACAGGTATCTATTTTGTTCACTATTTACTACCAAGAGTCTTTGGCACTGGAACAGAACCTCGTAAATCTGCAGCCCAAGTTGAAGTTCATCTGGCCCTAGTCCACACGCTATTCCTGGAGGTAGCAAACATGAGCTCAAAGAAACGAGGTGAAATCACATTCTCACTTTAAAATATATACTTTTTTTTTTTTTTAAAGATACTTAAGAAAAGAGAAAAGATATTTGTCTCTGGGGGAGGAGGAAATGGAAAGAAAGCACTGGAGATGGGCATTCCCTTACTAAAATGACTGCAGTGGAGTCTTTAGGCCAAAATAGAAACCTGTAGATTGGAAATATCCCCCTCTCCCATTTATAAATAGAAATTTCCAATATCCTACTATTTGGAAGACTCCAAAACTGCAGGCCCAAACATTGGCTGATTTTAAGGGTCTGTTGATAGTGACAGTAAGGCTAGAAACTGTTTATGAAAACTGGGCATCTTGAGGTAGATGGCAGTCAGAGGAAGCAGGAATTCTCCAACTGGCCTTTTCCTCTGTGCTAGATTTTGAAGGGTTTGACCCTATGCTTTCTTAAAAAGACAGTCGAATTCATTCTAGGTTTGGTGGACAAGAATGGGACTCTACACTATTAAGCTGTTGTTTCCTGAACCTTAAAGAGTTCCAGTTATTGGTTGAGTAAATGGTAGCCAAAACTAGATGTCAAAATCCTTCCTTCCCTCTCTCCGCTGCGCGGTAGCCACTCACAACCCACTTTGTTGTGAAAACTTGCGATTCAGAGGAGGCGGTGCGGCAGCGCCACCCCTCGGTGGATGAAACTATGTGCAAAAGTCAAATATTTAAAAAATATTGTGAAATGACCTTATGAGGAATTTTTTTTCCCCTTTAGGAAGGGAAGATAAAACTAACTTTTTCAAAACGGACTTTGCAGCTGATCTCTCAAGTGGAGAGGGAAAAAATGCTTTCCAGCTAGGATGGTGTCATAATAGGCAAAGTAGTTTCAATGAGTGTGTGTCTGGGTGTGCATGTGCGCGCCCGCGATCGAGTGGAAGGATGGAGAAGGAGAGAGAAAGGGAGGGAGGAGGAGGGAGAGAGAGAGTGGGAGAAGGGCAGAGAAAGAGAGAAGAGGAGGTGAAGAGTGAAGGAGAGAAGAGGGTTGCCTAGGTTGGCTTTAAGTAGGCGAGTTCTCCAGGCAGAGGTAGTCCAGTCCTCCTTCTCTTTGGCCTTGACTTCTCAGGGCACCTAAATTCTGCTGCTTGTCTGACATTGATAGGAAGAGAAATATTTTGGTGTAAAAAAAACGTACTAACTGGAAATCCTGTAGTTCTGCTGGCTGTGATGGTGGTGTATGTGGGAGTGTGAAGTGGAGGAGGTTTGGGGATGGCGTGGGACAATGGTAGGCTGGTCTGTAGCTGGGTTTGGAGCCCTGTAGAAGTAGTGTGGTGCGTGCCGGTTTCCTGCTCTGCGCAACAAGTGGGAACGCCGCCGCAGTGATCCGAGCGAGGGTGCTGTGTTGTGGCAAAGCTGGCTGGTTTCTCTTCGCCCCACTGGAAGCCAGGACGGCTCCTCCCAGCCTTCTCCGCCTCCCAGTCCGGGATAAGCAGCCCTACCAAAAGACGATACTTGTCTCCCCTCCCCCACGCCGGCTTTGCGGAACGCTATAAGCCTGCGTAGGATCAGGAGTTTATTCAAGACTTTCTTTGCTGGTCGACCAATGTTTGGAAGGGAGCTCTTCTAAATACTATTGAGTGTCATTCTGTTTTTTGAAGACAAGTGCACTCTTTCTTTTCCTTCCCAATACATTCAGCCTTTCGGGCTGGAAAAATCAACGTATAATACATGAACTCAGCTTCAGATATTGTGTTGTGGTTGTCAGAGGCGGGAAGAACGGAATTACAGCCAGTATATTAAATGTTTTCCAGCTTTGCCTATGGAGGCAACTCCCTCCCGCTAACAGACAAAAAAAAAAAAAGGTTGTGGGTTGTCAGTCGGGTGTGGAAGGTTGTGGCCGCGCGGTGATTTTCGGACGGACTGAGTCTGCCACCTGGTGGTAGGTCTTGATCTAGTTCCCCGCCTTGGGCGGTGGGCCAACCGCGTCACCTTCGCGCCCCTCTCCCCTCCCCTTCCCCAGTATCCCGACTAGGTGATAAGACTGACAGAGAGGGCACCCTCCAATGAGGATGACATCCGACCTCCAAAGTTTTGGTAAGATAGTTGAAAATTAGAAAGCTTCCGGATGCTTGCTTGGTCCACGATTGCTTAGCGATGGACATCTGCCTAAGAGAACCATTAATTAACCCGTTTTGTTCACGCTCTCTCTCTCTCTGTCGCTGTGGCTTCTCCCCAGGAGGAAGTCGGTAGTAGAGGGATGCCATGGGAGCTCTAGAACATACAACTTTACAGTTGAGGAAACAGGCCTGACGAGGGGGCCTGTTAATGGTGAGTTAGTGACTTAGCCGGCACCAGATTTTAAGCTTCTGAGTTTCCAAGTCAGTGACTGAAAGTCAAAGTCAAGTTTATCTCTGCGCCTTTGAGGCATCTAAGAGAAAGGAACAGCAGTTAGAGCCATGGTTTCAACCTTTCAGGTCACCGTAATTAGAAATGGCTCTCCAGCTGTCTTGGAGAAATTTGTTTAGGAAGTATGGCCTAAGATTTTCAGTAACAGACATGAAAAGCCTTCTGTTGTGCTGAGGGGTGGAGGTCTCAGATCTCGGGGGTTTGGCTGTGATTAAGGCCCAGTCTCTAGACATGCAGGGATGCTCCTTGTTGCATTTGGATCCTGAAATCACTTTCTTTCCCTTCTTTCTGAACTCTGCTTAGTGGTTTGGAAAGAAATCAGATGCGTGGGTGGGTCACATGGACAGGTAGAGCGTAATCCCCTTAGAATGTGCCATAGCAGCTTCATAGCAAAGTTTTCTTTCTCGAGCTCAAAACTTAAGATGGCAAAGGCGCGTCCGCGTGCTGGCGGCCCCTAGCGACGGCCCGCTCGCACACCCGCGGGAGACGCTGTTGTCTCCACCACCCTGGTCCGCCGGAATTGAGTTCAGCCTCTCCCACTGCGGGAGCTGTTGGAGGCCGCGTCAGAGAAATGCGCCTCTGTTCGGGTTGGAAACGAATC